GTGAGTGAATGAGTGAGTTAGTGAGTGGAGAAACAAATTAACTTTACATTAACATTGTGACAAGAACAAGTTTATCTTGTTAGTGAACTAAAAAATCTATCATCACCACATCAATAATCTAAAGTAGTTTCTCAAACATGTTAAGCATAGCAATAATATTTTCTGGTAAAACATGTTTGATATCAGAGTTTAATACACTTTTAATAGTCTTCGATATTTTCTGGTAAAAAATGATTGTTATCAGAGTTTAATACACTTTTACTAGTCTTCGATATTTTCTGTTTAAAAATGTTTGTTATCAGATTATAATGCACTTTTACTAGTCTTCGATACAATGGGTACATGGCAAAACTGAAAGGCATGGCAAAGATTATCTTTTACTCCAGTACACTTGAGTGCATATCCCTTCCTTATATGTACTTATACAAGTGACGCTGCAAAAAAGCTGATGTAACAACACTGGAATAAGTAGGTAGGGAGCTCTAGCCAGGTTGACAAGCCATGCTAGCATAGTAAGGACTAAGTAGTCTCCCTTTGTAGGTCATCGCCATAGCACATGTTAGAAGATAAAATATAGGAAGCATCTGTCTTGTTGGGACACAATAGGGCCACATGGACAAACTTGAAGTATTTCAAAATGGCTTTTGAAATAATTCTGTTGATTATGTCAATGTATTTGTGTTGTATCTAAATCCTTGTTTTTATTATTTTCAAAAGACATTATATTGATCTTTATTTCGACACATGATTAATAAAAGTTGTGAAAGAAAGTTTTGAGAACGCATTTGAGAGGGTGAAGCACTTGGTTGTTTTAACTTGCAAAACAAACCTGTGTGTTTGAAGGGAGCATGATCTTACGTGTTGCCCCTAAATATTCATTTGCAAAACAAGCTGCTTTTTGAAAATGAATAACTAACTTGTAGATTAATATTACCACAAAAAGGCATTTCCTAGGACTAAGCCCCATTGTGTTGGCAAGCACTTGTCTTGCTACCTGCATGTCTTGTCATGTGACAAGCCCTCACCCTCCCCAGCTCAGCCAAAGGCTTCACAGCTGTGTACAGGGATATAGTGAAGGTTCCAGCACTACCCTGGGACAATCTCTGCCCTGGGTCTGGGGACTTTCCCACAGGCTGTGGGAGGCACTGGGCCTCTGTGTGTAGCCTTTACTGCAGGTATCTAGGAAACACCTATATATTATTCATTGTGATATAGTGTTTATATAGTGGGGTTGGAACCTGATATTTTCAGGAGAGGTGTAGAGATTATGAATAATAAAACATTCATGATATTTTAAAATTGTAACTAAACTCTGATACAATTTTTAATTTAACTATTAAGCCACAAATAGTGCATTTCACTTTGTGGAAATGATTAATGTCTTCAATCCGTATATTCACTGCTCTTTTTTAGAAAAAAATAACAATGTTATTATAAAAGTCAAAATATTGCTTTTTAGCTCTGATCAAACTTTCTTTGTTACTGTTGTGTGGAAAATGATTAAAACACAACCACTTTTTCCTTAAATGAAATAAAACCTTTACTATTATTAAAACAATGTATTCAAAAATGACATGGCATCATGATTTGCCCTCAACATTGTTATTTTTTCTACCTTAGCCTTACAAGGGTTAGGCTAGATGCAGGGTACCAACACAACAACCACTACCACTTTGAGCTTACATTTCTTAAATATCTGTCTACTTGTATAAAGTCTTTGAATGGCATTTAGAAGTGATACACTTAAGGAAGATAATTTATGGATGTGAGCTTCTTTATCATGAAGAAACATACATATATACTTATTCTTTCATCACATGAATAAATGCTATTAAACAAAGAACATATATATGTACCTGTAAGCACAACAACCTTTACATATAATATTTACATATAAATTAATTCCATAAATTCTCTTCCTTACTTGTATACTTGTATATACTGCAAGCTACTGGCTCCACTTCTGTCACTTTCTGCCGAGAACCCCGAGCATATAGGAATATGCAAGTGATCATTATCAGCATTACAGAGAGAGAGAGAGAGAGAGAGAGAGAGAGAGAGAGAGAGAGAGAGAGAGAGAGAGAGAGAGAGAGAGAGAGTAATGTTTATTATAGTGTCACATGTTATCTACACTTCATACTAAAACACGTACACGAACAATGACATATAACATCCGACCAGGATGTCTACGAGACACTTAGACATAAAAGCAAATTATAATCTAATAATTATGATCTGGTTAAGGTAAAATAAGACATATACTAACACAATGTTTAAAATTAAGGTTGGGTTATGAACATGCACGCTCGCACACTCACGCACACTTACTTATAAAGTCACGCACGCAATCATACACAAACGCGTAGATACCCGCACACCCAACCCACACCATACCACACACACATGCACACATACACGCACAAGTACACGCACACACAAACACACGCACGCACACACACATACCATATGTGCATTATACCACACACACGCACACACACACACACACACCATACGTACATTATACCCCCCCAACACACACCCCCACCCCCCACCCCCCACCCCACCCGCACCCACACGCATGCACCATACATACATTATACGCCACACACACACACACACACAACACAGGGGTGCATTTATCCTCACCGACACTCAACATAAACATTACAAGTATAACATTGATCACAAGAAGAAATACTACAATTCGCAAGCATAATGACATACATGAAGAAAAAAGCGCACACAGAATCAAATGAGTGACAAGCGTCTTTGGAACATTTGATCAATCAGCTGATATCCTGAAGGGAGACAGGGGGACGACTGTACCTCATTTTTTCAATGTTAATGGGGAGGTTGCCACTGCGTAAAAGTGCCAAATAATTTCTGGTGTTTTTATGGATATAATTTGATAAGACATAGGGCTCCAACGCATGAGCAGAACAATCTCATTAAAATCAGATCTTAGTTCTCGCTACCGCTAAACAAAGATCTGAGAACATCCCATTACGGGTCACGTCAGAACGACCTTTCGCGAATTTTGACCAACCAATGAAAAGACTGACAAGAAATCGGCTTAAAGAAGGCCTAGATTGTATGGATATAATCATAAAAACCGTAACTGTCGTTCGGAATACCCCGTGTCAAATATTTCATGGTTGCATGATTGGAAAACACATTCCAACTGTCACTTTCATGATCTGGTAAGTGACGCTCTGATTGGTTGGATGGAAGGTCGTTCTGACGTGACCCTTAATGGGATGTCCTCAGATCTTTGTTTCGTTATAGCGAGAACTAAGATCTGATTTTAGTGAGATTGTGAGCAGAATGACCGTTGTTAATTTAAAGTATTATGGTACTGTGGTTCTAATCTTCTAAGCCTTCACTGTGGGCAGATGAGTGAGTTCGTTTATGGTTTATACAAAAGCTTTATTAACCTTGATGTTTACACATCGGAATTGTTCCTTTGCAAAAAGCAATATGGCGAACGCACATGGACTAAGGGACATAACTCCTGTTATACATCTTTACGAGTCACCACTAAAATTGAAGTAATGCTGTTATGCTAAGCGATAACACTACAGTGGAGAAATAGTCAGCTGAGAGCCGGAGTCACAAGCCACTTATTACAATTTTATTTACAAGAACAGAATGAACAATATCAAAAATATAGCTGAGGGTGCCACCGAGAGTTAGTACAACTCTATGGGCTGTGGGTGAGAAGTATCCTTGATTTGAGAGTCAAAACCCTACTGCCTGTCGTCTTGATTCTCCATGTATTTAATTTAAACAATATAAGGAATATTATTTGTTATTGCTAATTGATACATAATGGGGTGTTCCCTAAAGGTTATGAATGGCTAGACAGAGGGAAATACTTAATCCTGTTAATTGGACTGGCACTAATCTTATTGACATATTTCTTGGTTGCTTGGAAAAAGATAACATATCACAATTGAGGAGCTTGTATAGGGGCTAAATTTAAATGAGCCTACTTTGAAGTATTAGCTCAATGTTATTCTTATATAGGTGATGATAGGTTTACTTAAACATAATAGTTCAATGTGATCTATTGAACTATATCAATCATTAAAATCAGATCTTAGTTATCGCTACTGCTAAACAAAGATCTGAGGACATCCCATTACGGGTCATGTGAGAACGACCTTTCGCGAACTTTGACCGACCAATGGAATGACTAACAAGAAGTCGACAACAGCCAATCAGAAGGCAGCTAAATCGGCACGAGTTTCAAACTGGCCAATACACTTCGAAACATATTTGGACATATACTTCATTAAAGAATTAAAACTGAACAAAATAACATTCTGGAATGGCTAATAGATGGTCTAGATTGTATGAATACAGACATAAAGCGCATAACTGTTGTTCGGAATACCCTGTGTGTCTTTTTTCGAGGTCGCACGATCAAACGTCACATTCCAACTGCGACTTTCCTGATCTGATAAGCGATGCTCTGATTGGTCAGATTAAAGGTCATTCTGACATGACCCGCAATGGGATGTCCTCAGATCTTTGTTTAGCGGTAGCAAGAACTAAGATATGATTTTAATGAGATTGTGAACTATATAGACATAATATTTGTCATATTGGATATTGAATACTGTGTGGGAAATATGCTTATAGATGGAAAGCGCACGTAAAACCCCCAACTCTCTCTGTCATATTGAATAATTTGCCTGGGAGATGGGTGTTTGTTACCTTTGGCTAGAAAGCTGTAACTGTAACTAATATTTTATGACTGCATTTTTTTTCTGAATCCTAGTATATTATTTACTGTGGATCTATAATTATATGACAATTTGTATTAATGTTACATCGTGATACAGTCCTAAGACCAATAGCCCCCCCATAGTAAATGACCCGTCCCTGATAACACAAGACTAAACATACTGGTCACAATGCCATCGATTAATACAAGACCCATTTTTGTTTACTATGCAGATGATAGAAATTATTTCTTTTCTAAATTCTCTCTTCAGGTGTTGTTGGACTTCATGGCGACTCTAGGCTTCAGCCAGACGTACTACACTATATCAATGTCATATCCTCGGCTGAATTTATCGGAGCACCTCAACAAGACGATGTGGGAGATGGGTTTCCAGAGACAAGTGACCTTGAATGTAGAGGAGAAGGACACATGAGGCAGTGACATCTGTATTTAGTGAACCGCATTAAACATTAGTACATCTTCCTGAGGCAAGGGAGTTAACTGACATTTAAAGTCCAGTTTCCACCCTTGCCAAACTTTACAAATCCTGCAATCGACTGAAATCTGCACTGCAGTTTACGAACCGGATGTCGATTTCATTTCACGATTTTGATTGGATTATGCATACAGGGCGAAACTACCATTGTAGTAGAAAAGCAGTGTCTTACACTTAGTAAACCTCAATTTACCATCTATGCGGTAAATTCTTAATTCTACAGGGTTGAACGTGATATTTATTGTCTAACTTGAAAATTGTAATTTTTACACACTTAAGGATTTTAGTGGTAGATGGTAAGCAAACTGCACTCACATAGTTATATTTTCATTATATTGACAGGTTGGCTCGCTTTATAATATGAAAAAATAAATAACCATCACCTACTAAGAATGAACATGTAAAAACACAAAAAAAGTAATATTATCAATTTGTTTGTATGTTCATATTTTATTTGTCATAATAGATGTTTCGTGAATGAAAGTCGAAAATGTGTTGGTGGAACACATATATATATTACAAATAAAAAATCATAACAAAACATCACCAATATTTGTTACAAATAAAACGTAACATAAACAGTCCCAAAAATGCAAGAAATAGTGTTTAAGAGCGTCTAATTTTCTAAAATGTCTTGGTGAGCATGCCTCCAAACCCTCCTTGCGAGCCCTCGTAAAATTGGTTTTGTTACACTTAAAATCAGCCGAGTTGCACCTCTGGCATAGACTCCTTAGTTCCAGCCTAGTTCGGCAAGGGTGGAAACTGGACATTTATAGTCAGTTAACTCCATGGCCTACGTACAGCCCTAGGCCCATAACCACCATCAGGAAAGTTATACTACTCAACTTTTGATAAGGGTCGAAATAGTCATCTTTAGTCAAAAGTGTGGTCCATAGCAACTGTTGAGTAGTATATTAAGATAGCTTTTTATATTTTTTTTATTATTACAAACACAAGCTCATTTATAAACCGATATTTGCGAACATTATATATTATTAATCAAATATCACTTTTTATATCTTGCTCTATAGCTATAATACGTACATAGTGTGATGTGACATGACATGACATTGATCATAATTGTTCACTGATTCTTTTCAATTAACTCATCTGAAATTAAAAAGCATGCTTTGTAATGACAGTCCCATTAGTCCATGCAGACTTGATGCCAGGTCGGGTTATACTCCATTCCCCTGGGGAACTGTCATGGAGAGCCTTTTATCACCATAGGCTTATAAACCTACTGGCTGTTTGGAGTTTTTGAAATTGTGGTAACACCTTGTAGGAGGTATTACAACGATTGTAACACCTCGCAGGAGGGTTTACAATCTCTAGTAATCCCTCGGAGACATGGTTTCTCCTACACAAAGAATGTTATAGTCTCACCAGTCAAATGACCTGACATTGGTGGTAAAACCTCCCGGAAATATTTTTTCACAACAAATCAATAATTGAATTTTATATGTCTGGCCTTGACAAGATATTTGCATCTATTTACATTGGAAGTGTTGTGTTTAGTTTAACATCCTCTGTTAGGCATACGCAACACATCACACTTCTTGTAGCCCATTGTGTAGTCTGGCAAGAGAGTTGTCTCCCCTACATTACAAATTAGGCGACCACACCATAACTGGGCTGCGCCATGATACAACATACAGTGAAGGAAAAGTTTTGATCTAAGAACTATGGTGTCCTATGGGCAGGGCCCTAATTATTTTATATCTTCCGGATATTTTGACCTTCTCAGGAAAACAATGTCCTTTTAAAAACAAGGGAGGTAATTTCATTGATGAGATTCTCCTTACAAGTGAAGCTATCATGTAATGCAATGTATAAACTTTCTTTAGAATGTTAGGATCATGTTCACGATGATACCCTTCATTTTGGAAGGAAAATAGCTAGTTTATTAATCAAAAGTCAAATGTATGATGTTGTCATTGACCTGAATGTAAAGTAAGGCAGGAATGAACATGGCTAGTTTATTAATCAAAAGTCAAATGGAACATGTTGTCATTGACCTGAATATAAAGTAAGATATATCATGTACTCAGTGGATTACTTATGTATATCAGGTCTCATTTAGAGTCCTAGTTCAAGGACACGAGTACCCAATCAGGGGAGATAACTCATTGTTGATTAATTGTTGGAAGAATGTCTAAAGGTGAAGCATAAAAAATAATAAGAGTATAGAATAAAAGTGGCTACTACATGTGAAGTAGCGTATGGTGTAAATGAAATGCCATAAAACCCAACTCACTCAGCCAATTGTGACTTGCAAAATTTTGGAGGGATTTTAAACTGAAGAAAGGATTGTTCAACATTGGTTTATAAATATGAATTAATGCAATTACTTCCACATTAGTTTTTAGACTAGACCAGTGTTTTTTATGTTTTTTCTGGAGACAGCACACATTTGCATAAGTAAAGTAATAAAAATAAATTACAATGCTGTGTTGATTAAAAATACTGGTATATTTATTTTGGGAATTTATTTGTTTGTATTCCTGTTGATTAATGCATATTTCAAGGTTTTTTTTGGTGGTAATTACCCTCAAGTCATATCGGGCCACCGTTTTGCATTATGTTTATTTTGCCTGCTGAGTGAAATACATGTAAGTTTGTTGACATCACTGTACCAGTTAATGAAATGTTTCTTATTTTATATTTTTCTATCATGAATGTGAATAACTGTGTGTGTGACTGAGAGTATATCAGTGTAGTTTTTGTGACATATTTGTCATATGGTTTATGTATATTACTCAAAAGAAGTTAAAGAACACCAGTATTTTTCCAGTTGCTATAGTTAATCTGTCATGGCCATGACAGATTAACTAAAGTCACTTGCAAAATTTGGGTGTTCTTTAACTTCTTTTGAGTAGTATATGTTGCTGTTGAAAACGTAGTCTGTACATTTATTCATATCAAATCAATGTAGATACATCAGGGCCAGATATGAATCAAATCCAAGCAAATCAAAACATTGTTTTGAAATAACTATTTTATAAAACAAATTCTCACAAGAAATTGATCATATTTTTGCCTAAATCCCAGTGACAAGGAATGTGATGTCATTTATTGTGTTCTGATGTCATAGCATTCAAGAATGACATGTGTATGTGTCACTGTTTATAGATTTGCAGTAGTAACTAAGTATTCAATGCTTGGAAAGTTTATCATTTGAACCCCTGACTTAGATGGCTGGTTCCAAATGAAATTTTGTGCATTAAATCCTCAGCAACACCTCAGATCTGAAAACACTTTGTTATTTTCCTTATCTAATACCACAGTTTCATTTTCATTCATGAGTTTTGAATACTAATCAACTTTTGATAGGGATAATCAGATATGTCAGATATATTTATATATAAACTTAACCTATAATGAGAATCATTTTTGTTTCATGAAAGATAAAAATATCGCAACTATACACATTTGCTTTAATACCAACAATAGGACCAAATCAGCACTGGAAGTAACATAGAGTGGGTTTCGTCACGTTTTCACCCAAACATTGTTACAACACAGAAATAAAAGAATAAAGAATCCAATTGTTCAATATGTATATTTCTTAAAACAAGTTAAGGAACACCCAATTTTTACATTACTATAGTTCATCTGTCATACCATATTATTATAATTCATTTGTCATACCATGACAGATTAACTACAGTAGTATGAAAGAATCAGGTGGTCCTTGACTTTTTTTGAGTAGTATATATGTGCTATTGGCTGACATGTTGAAGACATGTGCCTTGCGTTACATCCTTGTAAACAGAGGAAATCCTGTTCCAATCTGATAACGTTGGTCAACAAGTCAGATTTTGTGCTGTATCATGTTTCATTCTGCATATAGTCTTCCCTACGTACTTATGTAGGTAGAAGTGCTGAATGTGCAGTACTTCGGTAAATGTGAGTCAGCTGACAGGCAGTGGTTGTCAACAAGAGAGACATTGTATATATTGTTATCATCCCATTTGTTTAGGATGAGGGAGTTAATATAGGTCCCTATGAAACACAGACGTAATAATGATTTCACACTCTCATTGTTAAGGTAATACATTATGATGTCACAATGGTAATTGACATCAAAGCCTATCATTGTTGACTTCTCCACAACATTTTCAATAGAGAAGGCACAACATATTCACGACAATTAATTATAAAGTGTTTGATAATAAAGATATGTTTGTTTGTGTATCCTGATTTTATGAAATATGTGATTTCTTGTATGGGAAATAAAAAAATAAATGACACACGTTTTGAAAATTCAGAACAAGTACTCACACACGTATAATAATAGTATCTGGACCAGACAATCTAGTGATTGACATCAAGAGCATCAACCAATTGGGATACGATGATATGCATCTACCAAGTCAGCGAGCAAGTTGATTTGTGAAAAAATATTGTCAAAATGATTACACCAATCATCAATAGTTATATTTGGACTGTGAACAGAAAATCTAGTCATATCTCGTGCAGTTCTCCAAAACTCTTTTGTATTATTTATGCTGGCTGTTTGTTCATCACGAATAGATTCGTTATATCTTCTTTTCTTCTCCCGCGTTAGGTAAATATAATTATTTCTTGCTCTTATATAAGGACCGAGGGACACGCTATCTTGACGCTTTCTACAAACCAGTACAGCGAGCCTGACCACTGGATACTGTTAGTCCGCTCGACAAGCATAGTCGCCTCTTACGACAAGCATGGGTTGCTGAAGACCTATTCTACCCCAGATCTGTATGGGTAACGGTGATGTAACTGAAATACTGTTCCAAAGTGGCCTTTTACCAAGACTCACTGTTTGAAGTAATGGCTGACCGAGGTGCTAGTACCGTATGCCTGTTCTTGTATTGGATGCCATCATGGAGGAGACTATGTGAGTTGTGGTTGTGGATGTAAGCTCCATGTAATGTTTATATTATGATTTATAATTTGGCATCAAAAGCCTGTATGACCCATGTGAAGATAACGGCATGTTCAGTAAATGGATTAATTGTTTTCAGCAATTCATGGATGATGATTTTTATACACGTCTTAATTGTAAATGAATTATTGAAATAAACTTTACATGTCACACTTATTGTCCTGATTTATGCAGGGAAACCAAGGCTGTAACTGGAACAAATCTGGATGAACATGCTTCTGTATCCCGTGAAGATTCCGGGGTGGAACAGGTCTTCAGCAACCCATTCTTGCTGTAAGAGGCGACTTTGCTTGTCGTAAAAGGTGACTAACGCGATCAGGTGGTCAGGCTCGCTGACTTGGTTGATGCATGTCATCGATCTCAATTGTGTTTAGCGATGCTCATGATATCAATCACTGGATTGTCTGGTCCAGACTTGTTTATTCACAGACCGCCATCATATAACTGGAATATTGCTGAGTGCAGCGTTTAACAACAAACAAACAAACAAACACTCCTTTAACACAGTAGCACATCAAAACGTTTGTTAACTCTTTTTGCCAGAGTGTACTTCACTTTAAATACATGTTACAGCAATTGGAAGCATGTCTTTGCACAGTGCACACGTCATGTCATGAGACCACAGTGCACACGTCATGTCATGAGAAGCACAGTGCACACGTCATGTCATGAGAAGCACAGTGCACACGTCATGTCATGAGAAGCACAGTGCACACGTCATGTCATGAGAAGCACAGTGCACATGTCATGTCATGAGACGCACAGTGCACACAACATGTCATTAGAAGCACAGTGCACACGACATGTCATGAGACGCACAGTGCACATATCATGTCATGAGACGCACAGTGCACACGTCATGTCAATTTGACGCACAGTGCACACGTCATGTCATGAGAAGCACAGTGCACACGTCATGTCATGAGAAGCACAGTGCACACGTCATGTCATGAGAAGCACAGTGCACATATCATGTCATGAGATGCACACGTCATGTCAATTAGACGCACACTGCACACGTCATGTCATGAGACGCACAATGCACACGTCATGTCAATTAGACACACAGTGCACACGGCATGTCATGAGACGCACAATGCACACGTCATGTCATGAGAAGCACAGTGCACACGTCATGTCATGAGAAGCACAATGCACACGTCATGTCATGAGAAGCACAGTGCACATATCATGTCATGAGACGCACAGTGCACACGTCATGTCATGAGAAGCACAGTGCACACGTCATGTCATGAGAAGCACAGTGCACACGTCATGTCATGAGAAGCACAGTGCACACGCCATGTCATGAGAAGCACAGTGCACATGTCATGTCATGACACGCACAGTGCACACGTCATGTCATGAGAAGCACAGTGCACACGACATGTCATGAGACGCACAGTGCACATATCATGTCATGAGACGCACAGTGCACACGTCATGTCAATTAGACACACAGTGCACACGTCATGTCATGAGAAGCACAGTGCACACGTCATGTCATGAGAAGCACAGTGCACACGTCATGTCATGAGAAGCACAGTGCACACGTCATGTCATGAGAAGCACAGTGCACACGTCATGTCATGAGAAACACAGTGCACATATCATGTCATGAGACGCACAGTGCACACGTCATGATACGCACAGTGCACACGTCATGTCAATTAGACGCACAGTGCACACGACATGTCATGAGACGCACAATTCACACGTCATGTCATGAGAAGCACAGTGCACACGTCATGTCATGAGAAGCACAGTGCACATGTCATGTCATGAGAAGCACAGTGCACACGTCATGTCATGAGAAGCACAGTGCACACGTCATGTCATGAGAAGCACAGTGCACACGTCATGTCATGAGAAGCACAGTGCACATATCATGTCATGAGACGCACAGTGCACACGTCATGTCATGAGAAGCACAGTGCACACGTCATGTCATGAGAAGCACAGTGCACATGTCATGTCATGAGAAGCACAGTGCACACGTCATGTCATGAGAAGCACAGTGCACACGTCATGTCATGAGAAGCACAGTGCACACGTCATGTCATGAGAAGCACAGTGCACATGTCATGTCATGAGAAGCACAGTGCACACGTCATGTCATGAGAAGCACAGTGCACACGTCATGTCATGAGAAGCACAGTGCACACGTCATGTCATGAGAAGCACAGTGCACATATCATGTCATGAGACGCACAGTGCACACGTCATGTCAATTAGACGTACAGTGCACACGTCATGTCATGAGACGCACAATGCACAGGTCATGTCAATTAGACGCACAGTGCACACGGCATGTCATGAGACGCACAATGCACACGTCATGTCATGAGAAGCACAGTGCACACGCCATGTCATGAGAAGCACAGTGCACACGTCATGTCATGAGACGCACAGTGCACACGTCATGTCATGAGAAGCACAGTGCACACGACATGTCATGAGACGCACAGTGCACACGTCATGTCAATTAGACGCACAGTGCACACGTCATGTCATGAGAAGCACAGTGCACACGTCATGTCATTAGAAGCACAGTGCACACGTCATGTCATTAGAAGCACAGTGCACTCGTCATGTCATGAGAAGCACAGTGCACACGTCATGTGATGAGAAGCACAGTGCACACGTCATGTGATGAGAAGCACAGTGCACACGTCATGTGATGAGAAGCACAGTGCACATATCATGTCATGAGACGCACAGTGCACACGTCATGTCAATTAGACGCACAGTGCACAAGTCATGTCATGAGAAGCACAGTGCACACGTCATGTCATGTGAAGCACAGTGCACTCGTCATGTCAATTAGACGCACAGTGCACACGTCATGTCATGAGAAGCACAGTGCACACGTCATGTCATGAGACGCACAGTGCACACGTCATGTCAATTAGACGCACAGTGCACACGTCATGTCATGAGAAGCACAGTGCACACGTCATGTCATGAGAAGCACAGTGCACACGTCATGTCAATTAGACGCACAGTGCACACAACATGTCATGAGAAGCACAGTGCACACGTCATGTCATGAGAAGCACAGTGCACACGACATGTCATGAGACGCACAGTGCACATATCATGTCATGAGACGCACAATACACTCGTCATGTCATGAGAAGCACAGCGCACACGACATGTCATGAGACGCACATTGCAAACGTCATGTCATGAGAAGCACAGTGCACATATGTCATGAGACGCACAGTGCACACGTCATGTCAATTAGACGCACAGTGCACACGTCATGTCATGAGACGCACAATGCACACGTCATGTCATGAGAAGCACAGTGCACACGTCATGTCATGAGAAGCACAGTGCACACGTCATGTCATGAGAAGCACAGTGCACACGTCATGTCATGAGAAGCACAGTGCACACGTCATGTCATGAGAAGCACAGTGCACACGTCATGTCATGAGAAGCACAGTGCACATATCATGTCATGAGACGCACAGTGCACACGTCATGTCAATTAGACGCACAGTGCACACGTCATGTCAAGAGAAGCACAGTGCACACGTCATGTCATTAGAAGCACAGTGCACTCGTCATGTCATGAGAAGCACAGTGCACACGTCATGTCATGAGAAGCACAGTGCACACGTCATGTCATGAGAAGCACAGTGCACACGTCATGTCATGAGAAGCACAGTGCACCTATCATGTCATGAGACGCACAGTGCACACGTCATGTCAATTAGACGCACAGTGCACACGTCATGTCATGAGAAGCACAGTGCACACGTCATGTCATGAGAAGCACAGTGCACACGTCATGTCATGAGACGCACAGTGCACACAACATGTCATTAGAAGCACAGTGCACACGACATGTCATGAGACGCACAGTGCACATATCATGTCATGAGACGCACAGTGCACACGTCATGTCAATTTGACGCACAGTGCACACGTCATGTCATGAGAAGCACAGTGCACACGTCCTGTCATGAGAAGCACAGTGCACACGTCATGTCATGAGAAGCACAGTGCACATATCATGTCATGAGACGCACAGTGCACACGTCATGTCAATTAGACGCACACTGCACACGTCATGTCATGAGACGCACAATGCACACGTCATGTCAATTAGACACACAGTGCACACGGCATGTCATGAGACGCACAATGCACACGTCATGTCATGAGAAGCACAGTGCACACGTCATGTCATGAGAAGCACAATGCACACGTCATGTCATGAGAAGCACAGCGCACACGACATGTCATGAGACGCACATTGCAAACGTCATGTCATGAGAAGCACAGTGCACATATGTCATGAGACGCACAGTGCACACGTCATGTCAATTAGACGCACAGTGCACACGACATGTCATGAGACGCACAATGCACACGTCATGTCATGAGAAGCACAGTGCACACGTCATGTCATGAGAAGCACAGTGCACACGTCATGTCATGAGAAGCACAGTGCACACGTCATGTCATGAGAAGCACAGTGCACACGTCATGTCATGAGAAGCACAGTGCACATATCATGTCATGAGACGCACAGTGCACACGTCATGTCAATTAGACGCACAGTGCACACGTCATGTCAAGAGAAGCACAGTGCACACGTCATGTCATTAGAAGCACAGTGCACTCGTCATGTCATGAGAAGCACAGTGCACACGTCATGTCATGAGAAGCACAGTGCACACGTCATGTCATGAGAAGCACAGTGCACACGTCATGTCATGAGAAGCACAGTGCACTTATCATGTCATGAGACGCACAGTGCACACGTCATGTCAATTAGACGCACAGTGCACACGTCATGTCATGAGAAGCACAGTGCACACGTCATGTCATGAGAAGCACAGTGCACACGTCATGTCATGTGAAGCACAGTGCACTCGTCATGTCAATTAGACGCACAGTGCACACGTCATGTCATGAGAAGCACAGTGCACACGTCATGTCATGAGACGCACAGTGCACACGTCATGTCAATTAGACGCACAGTGCACACGTCATGTCAATTAGACGCACAGTGCACACGTCATGTCATGAGAAGCACAGTGCACAAGTCATGTCATGAGACGCACAGTGCACACGTCATGTCAATTAGACGCACAGTGCACACAACATGTCATGAGAAGCACAGTGCACACGTCAT